CGGGTGGAAGGGGGAGGGCGCGGGAAGGGGGAGGCTTCCTGTGTCCTGCTGCTCCTCAGGCCTCCGCACAGCTGGCTGCGTCTGCAGGAGCACCTGTGGGGCCTGGAGGAGTGAACAGGGGAAGTGGAAGCAGAGAAGGGGCACCCGCACGGCCCAGCCTGCACTGGCACCCTGGAGAGCGGGAGTGGGGGTACGCTGTCCAGAAGCCTGGGTTCAATCACTGAACGGTCAGTAGTGGGAGGCCAGCCTGGTGGGGGTGTGAGGCAGGGCAGGCTGAGCTCTGCCACCCCCTCCAGGGCCCCTTCCAGCTGCCCTGGCCCCGCAGGAGCGCCCTTGAAGGGCAGGGCCTTCCTCCACATCCTCCCGGCACCTGGAGCTGGGACGTGCTGCCCATCTCTGGGCTGTCCAGGGCAGCGGGGACGCCACGGGCCATCCTCCTCTCAGCAGCCCACCCTGGAGCCAGAGCTGGGGGTTCTCCAGCATGTCACCGCCAGGGACGTGGGCCTGGTGGGAGCACAGGGGGCTGAGAGGCCCTGGGGAGGGCCCTGCCCAGGCCGGAGCTCAGACCCCTTATCAGGAGTCCAGGTTAAGGAGCCAGTGGGCGGCACGGCCTGCTGGTCTTCTGCACACAGCCCTGCGTGGTCTGGGCGAAGGGGGCTGTGAGGACCCCGAGGGAGGTACCTTAAAGCCAGTGGGCATGCCGTCCAGCCAGGAAGCACTGACTGGACTGCTCCAGCTGGGTCTCCAGGCTCCGCTCTCCTACGCGTGGCTCTGGGCTTCCTGCTCCTGGCTCAACAGAAACCCTGTCCTCACCGGAACGTTCACCATATACACATTCGCGCTCGATCTCACTGCAGCGTATAAACATAAGAGCTTAAAAACGTAGCCTTCTGGGCAAGCAGCTGATGCGGTTAGGGCACTGGATCCCACACAGCTGACTGCACCATTTGAGTCCTGGACCCGATGGCCTGAAAATCACACCAGGTGCGTGTGTGCATGCCCAAAATCCTGAGAGGAGAATGGAGAAGGGATTGTGTGGTGGCCAGCCCCAAGGGCGATCACTCACTTCCCGTGTGTGTGTGTGTGTGTGTGTGTGAGGGACCACATGTGCATGTGTAAAATGTGGCCTTCAGAGGACACGCAAACGGCTCCTCTGTTCGATGTCAGGACAGCGAGCTCAGAGGCCGACAGAAAGGCTTCTCTGTGCCCGGCGTGGTGTCCCTGGACGGGAACGCAGTTAAAGGGCCACTTGGGGGGGTGGGAATGAGGCGACGCCCATGGGTGACATGAGTACTGACCTGCGAACCACCTGGTTGGGCAGGACTCACTCTCTGGAAGGCATTGGCCGCCAGCTGGGCAGCGGCCCAGAACCGGGACCTGAGTGTCACCAGGCTGGGAGCTGATGGCACCGGGCAGGGCCAGGGCCCTGGTGCTCGTTGCCATAGTGGCGTGGGTGGCAGCACTGGGACCCGGCCACGATTGTGCCATCTGGTTGCTCTGTCAGGTACCTGTCCCACGAAGGGCCTGGCCAGGGCCACCACGTGTGTGCCCGTGGCAGCTGTGCTGCGTGGGAGAGGCCTCGGGGCGCTGTCTCTGCCCTGACCTTTGGCTAAGCTGGCCTTTTTCCACAGATTGCCTTCTGAGCTGAAGCCCAAGAGCTTAAACACTTATAAATGGCAGCTCAGTGCAAACATCCCGACAGGCGTTTGCTCAGCCGCACTGAGAAAATGTTGCTCAGAAGGCTGAGCTGTGAGGGCGGTGGCAGGCCTGGCCGGAGGGCTCCCGGGAGCAGAGTCGCTCCTGCCCGCCGGAGCCGAGCCTCTTCGCGGGAGGTGGGGAAGGCCAAGGCCAGTGTGGCTGTGCCTGCTGGTGCCCCAGCCGCTCCCTTGTCTGGCTGACTCTGGCCACCACAGCACAGCCCGGTCCAGCCAGGGAGCAGAGCTCGGCCCGTGGCTTTGCTGTGAGCGGCTCAGGCCTGCTGGCCTGCCTGGAGGCTCCTCGGCTCTCGGCTGCAGTGGGAATGACAGCCGAGAGGGCGCTGTGCCCTGGGCAGGGTGTGGGTAGGCTGAATTTCAGTCCCCTCATCCCAAAGGGCGGATGGCATGCCGTGAGTGTCGCAGGGTGTGCGTGCCCGTCACGGCACGTGGGGCTGGTGCTTGGGGACACTGGCTTGAGTGGTACGGGCTCAGCCGCCCTGGGAGCAGGCCATAGCAGAGGCCAGGCAGGCAGAGGGCGCCAGGCAGGGCCGCGCGCACAGCTCTCAGACCGACACGCTCCCTGGCGGGCTGTGGAAAGAGGTGCATGGCGGTACCACAGCCTGCAAGGCCAGCAGCAGCCGTTCCGTGTGCCCACAGGTCTCATTTGGAACGTGGCACAGGCAAGGGAGAGTCAGGGCATTCTAGTCTCTTGGTTCCAGAAAATGGAGACCAGGCCGGCCGTGTGGCCTGGTGGTTAAGGGAGCGGATTCGACAGGGCTGGGTAGTGGTTTGAGGAATACCCAGGCATATACGCGTGCGTGCCTGGCTCCAGGCAGGACGGGAGGAGGTAGGGACCATAGTGTGGCCGCACCTCTCTGGGGGCGCCTCCGCCCTCTTTGCTGTCTCTCTCCCACGAGTGCGCGCGCCCTCTGAGGCCTGGGGGCCGGATGCAGGGGGAGGACGTACTGCTGGGCGTGTGCCCTCTCGGCCCCTCCGTGGGCACGGCTCTCTGGCTCCCCTTCCCTGCCTGACCTCGCCCTGAGGACAAGGCTCTACCCGGGTCTCCCCTGCAAGGCCCGTTTCTCACCTGTCTTCCCAATTCCCAGTCCCGGGGGCCGTGCCTCTTCTGCAGCTAACGCTCCAGGAGCCCTTTCTAACCCTGACATGGCAGGGCTCGATGGCGAGAGCTGCCTGTCGTAAGAGGCCCACGTTAAAATCTCAGATTCCGTCCGGGCTCTGGCCCTGCCACGCTCCGATCACAGCCACCAAGTACGCCCAGTCGCCACCTGGGGGAGCAGGAGGTAGGCCCCTCCGGACGCTTGCTCGGGGTGTGCACCGAGGGTGAGCACGGCACCGTCTCGTGCCCACAAGTGACTGCCTGCTGTCCAGGGGGTCAGACACAGCCAGCCTGGTGCTCGCCCCTGCCAGACGCCAGGTCTTCTGTGAGTAGACCCACATGTGCTGGGCTCCCAGGCACGGAGGCTTGGACAACTCCCCACCCCTGCTCTGAGACGCCTGGGGGAGGCCCTCTACCTCTGTGCAGGGCTGGGCTTGCCATCTGCAGAGAAAACCATGCGCAGGAGGGGTGGGGGGGGACAGGGGAACG